CCCCCCCCCCCCCAAAAAAAAATCAATTTTAATTAAAAAAAAAATCAATTTTAATAAAAAAAAAATGTTTTAAGATAATGCCCGTGTAAGCCAGGAGGTGCTGGATGGCTTATATTATACTATAATGAATCAAATAATTAATATTATAGAATAATTTAATATATAATTAATATAAATATTTTTTCAATATTTTTACATTTTTAAATGCTAAGAAAAATCTAATAAAATCATGAAATAAATCGAGAAATGAAAAGTGAAATCATATTTACCCCTATATCTATTCTTTTTTTTGAAGAGCATACAGTTCTTGAAACTTCTGGAATGTGGCTAAATTAATTCACCTATATCAACACCTATATATCCCCAGGGATGGCCCGTGGGTTTGTGGGGCCCCAGGCAAGATCATTAAATTCGGGGCCATTTTCATGATCTTATCAATACTGACATATAATTCAAACTACATAACCAATACAAGCATGAATAAAATCACTAAAAATAAGCACACTGGTGGTTGATGACAAATATCGTATCCATTTTTTTATTTTTTATTTAATAAATAAAATGTATTAAATGTAGGACTTACCGGTCCTGTATATCCCAGACATATAAAAGAAGTAGTTATAATATGTAAGGTGTCTTTGAATATTGTGTTGGACAGCTTCTAATCAAACCGGTTGAGAATCACTGGTGTACAGTGTCAAAACAATCCTCACCTTGTCCAGGTTGTTGTAGAAGTCTGCATTGCCATGGTAAAAATGGTTGCCAAGGGAATCTTTCGGGAGTGGCTTAGTAGAAGTCCTGTCCCAGCCTGCCACTCATGGAAATGAGCAATTACATTGGGCTTGTCCTGTAGTTGGTCTGTTAACTGCAGAGGGAGACAGACGGGTTTAACATCATCAGCACATTACTCCATCAAACCTTCAAAGTTTCATCCCACAAAGTTAACATACACTAAATCAATTCATATTATAGCTATGATAGACTAGAAAAGTACAGGTGAAATTACAACAATAAGCAAAATCAAATGGTTTTAGTGTGAAGTTTACTAAAGGGATTTCTTCACCTCCTTGAAGAACCAGGCCACAAGAGAACCAAAGATGAGCGAGTTGTTGGCCTCTCTGTCATGATAGGGCAGCCCGATACTGCACGCGTTCCACAGATCCCCCTTCCAGCGGTCCAGGTTCCAGGCAGCTGCCCCAATATCAAAGAGGATGACGTATGGGCTACCCTCAATTAACCAGCGGCCAAAGTGCACCTGTATGTAGAGAGCAAGTAAAGGCCAAAAACGCTACTAATAAAAACTATAGGTGGCGTGAAGATGTT